GTCAATTCTGGTTACAGTGTTGGCGACCCACTTTGGTAAACATTCCATATGTACAGTTGTAATGTGGGATTACCGTCAATTGTAGTTAAGCGCCATTCGCTGATGTTGACTGATTTATGTAGCAGTGTCCAGGGCTTTCATCTTCACGAGCTCCAGCGTTTCATATGCACTTACCGCTTATGGTGTGACCACGATGTTCATGTTGCTGCTCACAACTGTACACACCTGGTTATATATATATATATATATATATATATATATATATATATATATATATATATATATATATATATATATATATATATATATATATATATATATATATATATATATATATATATATATATACAACGTAGGCGTCTCTTTAACGTATGTGTGTGCGTGCATTTGTACATGCATTTAGCGCCACTTTATAACGTTGCAATCAATAAAAAAATTATGACACAGTCACTTTCCATCAGCATGCTTCGCATAACATCGATTCCGAAGGTACGTGGGAACTGCTGAAATTCAAAACAGTTTTAGAGAAACTACAAGCACACTAACATGGTACTAACTTCACAATTAGTCACAATATTTTCGTGAAGTAGGGAAGCGTGTATTATTTCACTGGCATTCGTCATTACCCGTAAAAGTGGGGCACCCACCGCGCACCTGTTTTTGTGGGTACAAGACATGAATACGCATCACCTCTCTGGACCACCATCAGTAAGGTTTAAACTGCGTTCGTTACGCGTGCACAAGTTTGTCCGTGGTGGAAACGTGCGACAGCGCCTGTCTGGTTTACAGTAACTGTGGTTACGTCCGCTAATTGCAGTTGGGTATAACAGCGGTTAAGCTGACCAGTGGGACAAGAGCATAAGAGTACAGGATGAAATCCACCATGTTAGAACAGTGAGCGCTCCCGATACAGACAGCAAGCAAGCACAGTAATAAAACCGTGTTAAGAACAAACGCTCGATGATTTAGATGACTAGGTACTCTACTAAGGGAGGTCAATAAGCGGTCCTAGATTTGAATACGCCATGAAGGATGTGTTATTAGAGAAGGTGTTTAACAATTGAGTGTACCAGGTACTTCACTACAAGAAGGTAGAAAGCTGGCCCGGGGAGGGGAAGGGCTTGACTTTGACGAAGGTAACCCGGGTACTTAAGACGAGGACACGGTAAGCGTATTCAGAAAAGTGGGTAACGATTTAGGGCTTTAGTTACTATGAGAGAGCGTAAAGACAACCCATGGGCCTCACACTTCATGAGGCCCTATTGACAAAATTACGCCTTGAACGAGTTCACATCGAGTGGTTCCGAATCCTTAGGCTCTCGTGAAGCCCGTTCATGCTCTTGTTGTGTGTCGGAAAAAAATTTACGGACCATCTCCCCGAAGAGAACCCAGGTGGGTTGTGAAGCGGCAGCGGTGCGCTCGGCGTTGACCTAGTTGAAACGAGCATCGACGTGGTTGCTGGAAGAATGGTTTGAAGCGAAAATCGGTGTAGTGGTTACTTAAGTAAACGTTTGTTTGAAACGCAAAGACACCGAAGGAGGGACGCTTTGAAGAAGCTTGCCCTTGGCTTCCCTGGCTCGCGTCTCGCCGGTGTTACCCGCGCGCCATCTATAATCTCGAAGGCGATCGGTGTTGTTGACTCGCACCTTGTAGGTGTCGTGTTCCAGTGCCGACGCTTGCGTTCGGCCTCCCTGGCTCGCGCCTCGTTGGTGTTCCTGGCGCGACGTCACTATTCACGAACACGATCACCTTCGCTAACACGCAACGCAAGCGACAGCCGGAAAAGGTGCGCGCACACTTGCAGGAAGCATGTCCCGGAGGCGTCCAGTCCGTCGGCGTGATCGCGCAGAAAGCAGCGGTACGCTGTTCACGTAGCCGGTGCCGCGGGACCACAGCTGGGCTAGACGACAGCGTACGAGCGCTGCGGAACGCACGCAGCGCACCTACACGCGGCTTCTTATCGCCGACAGATTGAGAGAGGTGGCGCTGGTGAGGAGATGATGCCGTCGTGAGGAGTGGTTTCGAGCGTTGTGAGCGGTGGAAAGGGGGAAGCAAGAGAGATGGCACGCGGCGAACAGCGACAGGTTAAAGAGAGTGACGTGACGCACACGCGCTGCGAGGGAAGGCGTGGTCTACTTAGCACCGCCCCGGTGCGGAGAGACAAGGGTACAAAGGCTTGTCAATGAGCTGCTTTGCATCTAAAATCGCAGTATATCCAAGGATTGAATCATGATAAGTGGGGCGAAGTGTCCTTTCATGTGTCCGTGCTATTCGTCCGTCTATGCTTCGGCCCGTCCTTTTGTTCTTGCTCCCGTCTGTCCGTGCGTCCGTCTCTACACCCGTCCGCATCTGCTGAGCATGTTATCAAACTAGGTGGCCACTAAACACGATGAGCTAAGACGGACAAACCCACGGCTTGATGAGCTTCGTCCCTAAAAGTAGTTAGTTATTTAGAGTACTTGGTATTCTACTATTGGTCAGCATAGAGCAGGCAGCTAGAGCAGTACAGACGTTTAGAACAAGTTGTTAACAATTTTGAGTACTTCGTACCCTACTATGAAAGACCACTTCGCTCACAGGTATAGGCCACTTGTTCATGGCTTAATGTCAATCAACACCAAGCCAGTGATATAGGGCGCGCCTTGCTAAGGGCATCTAATTACATGATCTGACTAGGCTGTAAAAGACTGCTGCCTCTCCTAGTAGCTTTACTAATAATCTGCAAAATGGCATTCTGTCGAAAAGTTTGACTACGTTTCCAACCTAATCCTTTAACAAATGATGCAAAACTGGGTGCATGGTTTATTACTGATAAAGATGGCTTCATTTTTGGCGTGGCGTACTAGAATAAGCAGGAGCTGCCTCGTCTGCTTCGACAGCACAGATGTGCTCTGTAGCCAAACCACTGAACACAGCTGCATCACCGCTGTTATCCTCGTTACAGTGGCGACAGGACCCACACTGTCACTTTGGAACGGTGTCACACAGGTCCCGTAAAGTAGGAAGGCGATCGCCGGGCTAATTCCAAGGGCCGAAGTATCGGCCCGCCGAACCGCACCACGAAAGCGTGGACAATTTGGAAGTGGTCCTTTTTGGCGCGCCAGCGGACGCCGGCTGTGGCCGAAAGAACAAGTCAGAGCCGAGAGTTGATAAACAAAACAAAATTATATTCTCAATAATGGCAGATCAATACAATACACAAGTATGCACACTCCACAATAGTTGCATACAATATGTCACCAATCAAACAACGTACTACACAGTACAATCAGCCACACTCGAAACAACGGACACAGACACAATACGCACTACAATGCATTCGCATGCATTGAACAACCAAGACACTTAAAGACTAAAGAGATAGAAAACCTTTTCAGTCCAAAGTTCTGGGAACAAAAGTCTGGATGATACTCTTCGGAGAATCACTCACTCAAAGTCCGGCGTTGTTGTCGTTCCGCTGCCCCCGAAGTTTCTCTTCCAGGAAACCTCTGTCGTTCCGCTGCCTTGAAGTATCTCTTCCAGGAAACCTCGCCGAAGTTTCTCTTCCTGGAAACCTCGCGTCTTCAATTGGCCACTCTCCAAGCTTCAAACTTCTTCACCGGAAACACGTCGGCTTCACACACGCAGCTGTTGCCACGCGTCTTCGCTCGATAGCGGTAAACACACACTCTTGCCTGTAGCTCGAGTCGTCACCCCTCAGGTGGAAATCGTCTTCTTCTCCTGCTTTGTCTTTATGGACAAAACCTTCGCCGACTACACGACGGAATCCCTACGCGCTCTGGCGCTAACTTCCGTCTTCTCCTCCCTTAGTCCCGGAAGACAAAAGGCTTTGCCCACAAGGCGGTACACCCTACGCTCTCTGGCGCATACTTTCTTCTTCTCCTGCTTTCCCATCTCGGCTGGTCCATTATATACCTTCCGCGCGAGATTCCAGAAAGTTCTCGTCATTTCGTCGGCGCGATACCCAGCGAAGGCTGGGGAGAAGGCGAGACGGTTCGAATGCCGTCCGCGATGGATGACTCAACCCGGCATCACCCCGCCCCTTTCCATCTAGAACATTCGAGTGCTTGCTCGGCCGCTGTTGTGGGGTAAGGAGGTTCGTCGGCGAACCTACGCTTCCGAGAGGGAAGGGTCGCGCGCCCGGGGAGTCCTTGGATGCTTGTTTTCTCTTTTTTTCTGTTGACCTCGCGGCGTCTCTCCCGCACGTTATCGCAAGAATTTGGTGGCACGCCTCGTTTGAGCGCTCGTTCTGTGACACTGCCCCCCACTTTAAGAATATTATCTCATAATAGTCAAAACCGCACAACGAGCGCGAAAAGTCCCCCCACTCTCAAAGACTGTAACATAGTTCGTCGCTCATGACACGTCACATTCACAATGGATCACTCAATACAACTGTACATTGTAATTTAATCTCACAACACATGAAATATAACCGCAGGTACATGAGTACAACAATCCATCACATATTCCAAACAATACAAATATACAAAGTTCTCTCATTACCACAATTGTACAATACTATGCATCACATCACCGCAACAAACATTTTGATTCGCTCGACATACAGTTGTGACACAGGACAACTACCACATTACCTTAACATATAGCACTGTCAAACACATTCCGAATCGCCTTTGACACCTATCCTGTGCATTTCGAGCGGTGCTTGCGCCCTTTCTTGCGGTGCTCTCTCGATCTCTTCTTATTGTTTTTCCTCGTTTTGTTCCGGCGAGCCCCTTCTAACGACGGTATCTGAGGCGGCGTCTCAGCCATCGTTGTCACTTCAGACATTGTTAACGGGTCGTGACGCTCAACCGAACCTGCCCGGTTATTCACCCGCTTGTTCATGTCCCGGCATTGGGCCTGGCTGGCCGACTCCGTCACCTTTACACTGTCGCTCGGTTGAGGTCGCGCCGAAGTAAGACCAGCTGCCCAGCATGTGAACTCATTCAGCACGATCATCTTCTAATTCACTGACTCTTGCACCGCGGCTTCACCTTGGGCTCGAATGAAATCCTTCACAGAATTGTTCTCTGCTGAATCTCGTGGCCCCTGTGTCGGCGGGGGCTCCATCTTCGGGTCTTCCCCCAAACTTTCTGGTTCGTTCGGCCCTCGCGCCCCGTCGATGTTTCCGATGACGAGGTCGTACAGGGGGGTCGTCATACATAGAGCGGTAGCCTTCCCGCTGAAGTACGGGGTTTCAACCTCAATTTCTGCTTCGGGAAGCATCCGAACCGTACGGTCAATTAGGCAAACCGGTTTCGTTCTGCCTGTCAACTCACTTTTCCGTACCAAATTTCTCTGCACGATAACCGTGGAGCTACCGGTGTCTCTCAACACTGTAACCTTCTTGCCCGCAACTTTTCCAGGCAGCGTTGGCATTCCCTTCGTAACACCGGTTGGCTGTTTTGTCATTATAGCACCCACAATAGAGATTTTCTCCCCATTTTCAACTCTACAAATCCATCGGTGACGTCATCAACAGTTTTTGGTGCCACTTGCACACAGAATACCTGGTGAGTTTGACTCGCTCCGTTCCGACAAGCATCTGCTTTGTGCCCAGTCTGACCACACTTGAAACATTTCACTACCGTAGGGCTCGTAAAGTTAGTACGAGAGTTGCTCGCGCGATGACCCACTCGGTTACACAGAAAACATCGCGGAACACTCTCCGGTGCACGCTTCTTTTCTTCGGGAGCCAATTTCTTCAAATCTTCGGGACACTCCTTCTTGACCTTGGCCAAATTAGTGCCACCTTGCGCTTCCAAGAATTGATCAGCTAATTCAAGCATGTCTTCAAGTGACTTAGCTCTCCTCTCTTTCAAGTACAGCGACAGGCTTTGGTGGCAACTAGTAAGAAATTGTTCTCTAATTAGGAGCTCTCTAAGCTCATCGTACTCCTGCGCTGTCCCTGAAAGTTCAATCTATCTGTCAAAATATTGCCAAAGTCGGGCAGCATACTGCGTAGCCGTCTCACCATCCGCTGGCTTTCCTGTCCGAAATCTGTCCCGGAAACCTTCCACAGTAAATCTAAATCGCTTCAGCAAAGCAGTTTTCACCTTTGCATAGTTGGCTGCATCGGTCGGCGTCAGCCTACCGTACACACTGAGCGCTTCAACACTCAAGCCAGTACTCAAAGCAGTTGCCCATTGATGTTCCGGCCAATTCTGGCTCCTCGCAATCGTCTCAAATTGGTGAAGGTACGCGTCAAGGTCGTCCTTCCTTTCATCAAACGCTACGAGCAGCTTGCCTCGGTTCAAGCGGAAGCCATGATCTTCCCGTTCGCTGCTTTCTACTCTAGCTTGGACGGGAGTTTCACTTCGCTGTTGCAAATGGAGCCGCTCGAGTTCCATTTCGTGCTGCCGCTGCCGTTTCCTTTCAGCCATCTACGCTTCTCTTTCTTCTCTCGCCCTTTTGGCTGCCAATTTTTCTATCTCCAACTCAAACTTCAATTGTTGCTCTCTTTCTTCCTTCGCCCTTTCAGCTGCCAACCTCTCTCTCTCCAACTCAGCTGCTTTTTCTTCCTTGGTTCTCTCTTTTTCTTCTTTTTCCTTCTGGGTGACCCACTTCCGTAGTTCGGCGCCAGAAAGACCCATCTACTCAACAAGAGCGACTAACTTTTCGAGATCCATGTGTCTCGCAAATGAAACCTTGCCACGTGCAAAAAATTATCTGCCTAAATCAATACATCGGAACACTCTCCTGCACTCGTTAATGAGAACACTGAGCAATTTACAAAATCGTTCCGATAGCAGTATACACAACTCGAGGCTCTTTCTGACTACTTTGGACACACGGTGCACCAAAATGTCCTGTCGCGGACGCCAGATTAATTGTCACACAGGTCCCGTAAATTAGAGAGGCTATCGCCGGGCTAATTCCAAGGGCCGAAGTATCGGTCCCCTGAACCGCACCACGAAAGCGTGGACAATTTGAAAGTGGTCCTTTTTGGCGCGCCAGCGGACGCCGGCTGTGGCCCAAAGAACGAGTCAGAGCCGAGAGTTGATAAACAAAAGAAAATTATATTCTCATTAATGGCAGATCAAAACAATACACAAGTATGCACACTCCACAATAGTTGCATACAATATGTCACCAATCAAACAACGTACTACACAGTACAATCAGCCATACTCGAAACAACGGACACAGACACAATACGCACTACAATGCAGACGCATGCATTGAACAACCAATACACTTAAAGACTAAAGAGATAGAAATTCTATTCAGTCCAAAGTTCTTGGAACAAAAGTCTAGATGATACTCTTCGGAGAATCACTCACTCAAAGTCCAGCGTTGTTGTCGTTCCGCTGCCCCCGAAGTTTCTCTTCCAGGAAACCTCTGTCGTTCCGCTGCCTCGAAGTATCTCTTCCAGGAAACCTCGCGTCTTCACTTGGCCCCCGAAGTTTCTCTTCCAGGAAACCTCGCGTCTTCAATTAGCCACTCTCCAAGCTTCAAACTTCTTCGCCGGAAACACGTTGGCTTCACACACGCAGCTGTTACCACGCGTTTTCGCTCGATAGCGGTAAACACGCACTCTTGCCTGTAGCTCGAGTCGTCACCCCTCAGGTGGAAATCGTCTTCTTCTCCTGCTTTGTCTCTACGGACAAAACCTTCGCCGACTACACGGCGGAATCCCTACGCGCTCTGACGCTAACTTGCGTCTTCTCCTCCCTTTGTCCCGGAAGACAAAAGGCTTCGCCCACAAGGCGGTACACCCTACGCTCTCTGGCGCATACTTTCTTCTTCTCCTGCTTTCCTATCTCGGCTGCTTCATTAAATACCTTCCGCGCAAGATTCCAGAAAGTTCTCGTCATTTCGTCGGCACGATACGCAGCGAAGGCTGGGGAGAGGGCGAGACGGTTCGAATGCCGTCCGCGATGGATGACTCAACCCGGCATCACCCCGCCCCTTTCGATCTAGAATATTCGTGTGCTTGCTCGGCCGCCGTTGTGGGGTGAGGAGGTTCGTCGGCGAACCTACGCTTCCGAGAGGGGAGGGTCGCGCGCCCGGGGAGTCCTTGGATGCTTGTTTTCTCTTTTTTTTCCGTTGAACTCGCGGCGTCTCTCCCGCGCGTTATCGCAAGAATTTGGCGGCGCGCCCCTTTTGAGCGCTCGTTCTGTGACAAACGGCATGTGTCACGCGATTTTCAGTAAATGAGGAGCTTTTGTACAACAGTTCCCTTGCCTGATAAGTCATAAAAGTGCTCACGTATCACCAGTCTCGGCAGACTGAATGCGTGTAATCAAGAATTAAAAAATTTACAGTGTGCCTGGGCCTTACAACATATCTGCGAAAATTGTCAATAGCACAAAAATATTGTCTAGTCAGGTCCTAATATTCATTTTTGCGCAGCTATTTTCAATGGCTAAATATCGGGCGAGTGGAGCGTTAGCAGATTTGTAACTTTTTTTATTAAAACGAGAAGGGGTTTTGATCCCTCTCTTTTTTTGGTACAGAGAAGGACCTGCTTTACTTACTTGGTTACATTGTTCATACGTCAACTTATTGAACATATAATTTACCGGCACCTATCAAAACACCTGGCTGATAATTTTTTTCTTAAACCAACTCGAATTTCAGTTTGGCTATTCGTGCGAATATCAAGCTATTGAATTCACAATTGACTGGCGCTTAAAAATTGATTCAAACTTTGTAACTGACCTCATATACATCAAAGTTTCCAAGGCTTTTGACAGCGTTTGCTTCAGCTTCTCTTGACTCTACATTCTGGCCTCTCACGTGACCGCTGATAGTCATAGATTCGCGGCTTTTAACCTAATCGCTTCCAGTACCCCATCGTCAAAGGCCGGCCATCCGCAGCTACTACCATTATCTGCAGAGCACCAAAAGGCTCGTTCTTCGGCTGCTTCTGCTTTTATAATCACCATTATTAGCTCTCCCCTGAAATTTCATCCACGATTCATCTCTTCGTGGATGACTACGAGCTCGACCGACGCATAACTGCTGTTGATCAATCATTGCTGCAAGGTGATTTAACTTTAATCCAAAGCCAGGGCTAAACCTGGCTCGTGCACTTAAAATTGGGAAACTAAGTTTATGCACGTGCCTGGCAAACAGTCTCTCCTACAGCTAATACACACGCTAAACACAACCACGACATTACCATAGAATCCTTACAAGGGCTTGGCGTAGAATGATCTAAGCAGGTATAAGCCCACATCGCCAGGTTCTGTAAACGTTTTTGAATCGCCAAGTTTCATCAGATAATCACTCACATTTATTTCAGTCACAGTTAGACTAATCGCGTACAGAACTTTCGTACAATTTTCTTGGGAACCAGACTTGAATACGCATCGGCTATCTGGACCACCTATAGGAGTACCGAACCAGGGCATGGGAGGCCATACACCGTCGTGCATCTCGCTATATATCTTCCAAATATGATTCTAGACTGAGTGTCATAAACATCCACACTTCGATCAGTCTAAACCCCCTGGCATGCCGTGGTAAATTAAAAAAGTTTTTTTACTTGTTTTCGCTATAGATCATGCGTTGTTCCTGACTAGAATGTTTATTAGAAAAGTTTATATGCAGTGTTTAACGAAGTAAACACGGCTTACGAAACCGCTTCATGAAGTCTTGTTTTCATTCTTTCTTCCACATTTTCACCCACATATATAGTGATTAAGCTCTATTTCTTTTTATTCCTTGCTTATGATAAGAACTATGTTTAAATGTATTATGTTTGAGCCTTTTCCAATACAAGTGTTAAAAATGTCCTATAATGAACGGCAACGCTCTTATGTTAGGAAACTCAACGAAGAATTGGTGATTTCAAAAACGACTAACTGTTAATTGATTAAGAATACCAATTAACCATCTCTTGTTTTATAAGCCAAATGAAATTTGACGTACATAATACCTGGCTTTTCCGGCATCACTGCTTTCATATTTTCTTTAGATGACAACAAGACTGAGTGGTCAATTATTTGTCACCCCATACAAATGATAGAGTGTAAATTATTTCTGCCTTTATATCTCTATTCATCGGCTGGCAGCCTAACAGATGGACAAATTTACTGTTCCTTGAACTTTCCAAAATTTCA